TTGTGCGCACCTAGTTATTTGTGTAACCTTTGGGGATATTTTCAAAATGAAGCACTCTTACTGTGTGTTGGAGAGGAAGTCTTGTGAAAGCTGTGATGGCACTGAAGTTTCAATGGCAATTTACAGGAACGACTTAGGAGGCACCTGGCTCATGGGGTGAGTTTTTACTTGCAGAATCACAGTGTAGGTGAGGGTGGAAGGGACCTCTGGAGATTGTCTAGTTCAACCCCCTTGCTCAAAGCAGGGTCAGCTAAAGTGGGTTGCCCAGAACTGTGTTCAGCTGAGTCTTAAATGTGTCCAAGGATGAAGAGTCCACAAGATACCTGGGCAGCGTCTTCCAGTGTTTAGAAGTTATCTGTTAGTTTACAGAAATATTCAGTAATATCTTCTTAGTAGGGTAGTGTGAAATGGCTAAAGCTAATGTGAATTTAGTCTTTCCACTTAGAGACCAATTTTAAGTTTGAGGAAAGTGTGGCATGTTTTGCAAGAAGTAAAAGCCTTCTGCAATTCTTTAAGCTCAGGAGGTTGAGGTACAAAAGAAATGCAAACATGTATCCCTGTAGCAGAATGGCTGTATTCTGCACTGTCCGGGTGATAGAAGGGATTGTAAGAAACGTGAAACTGTAACAAAGAAGCTTTAATATTTTCTAGTTTTTAGTAATCTTTATTACTGCAGTTTGTATTCCTGCATACATAGTGATCTAATGGTGTAACTGTTATACTAATCCCTGTCTCTATTAAGGAATGTAGTGGATGAATGTAGACACAAGTTATCATTTAGTTGTTAGACAAAGTAATTAATTCAAACAAAAATGGTCTTGGTCCTCAGCGAATAATTGGGATAACTGTAGAATAAAAGAGACTCCTAAATAATTCTACTCCAGACAGCTCGGCCTTCGGAAGGCAGATGCACCAAGCTACAGACATAAGGAGACACCAAGAGGGCAACAAGACCAGAGCTAAACAACCTGAAGGACATGATATACGTGATCTTAGAACTGAGTTAGCACAGAAACAAAGGTCAACCAGAAAACACCGTGATGAAGAGGATGGGCCTTCATCTTAGGACCCTCAAAGACCACCCAAGGATGCTAACAGACATGTGTGAAAGGCATTAACATATGCTAATTAGTTATCGGAAAAGTAATGAATATGCTAAGCATTTCTCAGAAATATAAAGAATATGTATACTGTGATTGTATTTAACCTGAAATGACAGGGTGTTTGGCACACACGTTTGGAGGAGAGATCCCCCGTGTGCCTGGCGCCGCAATAAAGAATACCTGCTTAACAGTATGCATTGTATTGGTAGGCTTTTCTGCCGGATCTTCGAATCACAGGATTAGTCTGCCAGTGTCGATAAGGCCTTGCAGAATAACAAATGTCAACTTTCCAAGAAACATACTATGAAATTTCATACACAACACATATCTTCGGAGAACTGGTTTCAGTAGTGAGAGGCTGTGTATATGTATTCTAGCATAAATGTAGACTTAGAGTCTGTGTGATACTCTTAGCCTCATTGAATTAAAGGCTAGTACACTTAATTTAGCAAAATATTAATAAAGGCATGCATGTGAAAATACTGCCTTGGGATCTGCGTCTGTATTTCAGCACTTGTTGAATTAAGTGTATATCTCATTATTTTGGTTGGCTGTAGGGCAGGAGAGCATCTGTATCATTCACACTTTTTAATTTTTTCAGAGAATTTGTGAGATGGAAGAACAGTCTGTTGCTCTTTTCATAGGTACCACACCTGATTTTCTTTGCAGTCTCATCTATACTGCTGCTATGGCCTGGTAAGGGAATCTTCTGGCCAAGTCACTGCTGTCTTGTTATGGTACGGGTAGAGATTGTACGAGTCAGTACTCTTCAGGAGTCTTCACTCCAGCTTTCTGAAATGATGCCCTTTTACGCATGTAAAGGCTCAGAAAGTTAACACCGTAAAACATTTGAGACAGAAATGTAGTTTTTTAATATTATGTTCTCTTTTTAAAAAAAAGAACGATTTAGATGCAAACTTACGGAACATGCATGTAAAGAGGAATTCTGCATTTCCTATCAGCAATTTGATGTTTAAGCATTTTAAACTCTAAGTAATATATATTGAAGAGCAACTCTTCAGTGTCTTCTGTGTTGATCTAGGAGCTTATCTTTGTAAGCAGCTCCTAAACATACTTCAGGCTCTGATAGGTGCATGAACATTTTGTTTTCTTTGGTGACTGTTTTTAAGGCAGCTGCATCATTTCTGTTGCACCTATAGGTCTGTTCCCCAAGGAGCCTTCTTGCTCGCTTAGAGGTTCTGTGCTGTTGAGTGCTTCAGGGGGATTTTGGAAGAGTTTGGTGTCATGGCAGTTATATGTAATTTTTCTTAAGATTGTCTATAAATGACTTCAGATGGTCTGTTTGTATTTTTTTTTTTAGCCATCTCACTTTTTGAATTTTGAAGAAGAATTAGGACAGGACTGGTCTTTATTTTACCTTCTGAAAATAATTTATTTTCCAGCGAGTTCTGTTTTAAATATCTCCTACCAGTTCTAGCAGCCTTTTTTTTTCGTTTTGAGAGCGAGACTTACAGATTGTTTTCATCTTCTGAGTGTCGTTTCTTAATGTCATGTGTTGGTCGTCTTTGTCCTCATTCTTCTATCTTTCACTTTTGCGGAGAGCTCTGTTAAGACAGGAAGGAGACATACTTAGAAATCTTTATACAAATTTTCCACAGCCGTGGAAGAACTGTGTAATTTGTTTCCTAATTCAGGTGACAAAGCTGTCATTTTTGTCTCCATAGTATTTTTCTGAAATAGGACACTGCTTGCACAATTTTTTTGTTCCTTTTGAGAGCTGCTGCTTCTTCCTGTGTTTTTTGTCTGATCCGAGTACCAGATTTTTTAATATATTAAAAAAAATCAAATTTCAGCTGTTGTAAAATCCTGGTTTTAGTGTGCTACTGGTTTTGATGATTATTTTATCAGATTCATAGGGCATGAAGTCAGGGCCAATTACAAATGGAGTTCCTATAGAGAGAAAGACATCAAACATCACAGATCTCTTAATAGAAGAGTCAAAATCCTGCATTTTGGCTTTCACTCTTCTGACTACCATTGAAATATTTCCTATGTGTGCTTTTTATGCCGAGTAATCCTTAATTCTGCTGTGTTTGCAAACGAAAGTCTTTTTGATTTGTTATTTTCCATTTTCACAAGGATAAATCTTAGCTCTTGTTATGTAGCCAGTTTGTTCAGCTCTTGCTCCCTTAATTTTTGGTAATTTTAAAAATTTTAGTTTCAAAGAGATTGATACCCTTTACTTTACAAATTTATAATATTGAATAGTAAAGTAAATTAAATGCTTAAATTACATTTTTACCCGTTGTGTTCCAAGGTAATAGATGCATGAAATTGTAAAACTATATAAATACTTTAAAAGCGAGTGTATTTTTAGATGCAGTATAAGACTCTGTGAGAACAGAGATGTTGATTTCTGTTTTTTCCCTTTGTTCCAGTAGGCACGTAGATTCTTAAAGGAAATGAAAGTTTAAATATTGGCAAATATAAAAGGAAGAGTGCTAGCCAAACTAATTTCGGATTCATCATGCTTTGAATGTTACCTCCATAATGTTGACTTCCAAGATTCAGAAATTGTAATGGATGTATTATCTTTTTTCAAAATTTATTTGAACAAATACAATAAAATTGCATCTTACTTTATTTTCATAAACTACGTGTATTCATTGTATATGTGCCAGAGAATTCAACAATGAATCGAGTAGTCTAGACATTTCTGGGAAATGTGAATCCTGGGTATTTGTCTTGCCTGAGTCAAAATCAGCTCTGAGTCTCCTAAAAATTATTACTTCCATCATATTCTGAACTTCTGTTGTTCATGTTTTCACAGGTGTTTCATAGTAATGTTTAAAATATGAATTTGAATTTTATTAACATTTACAAATTGGATTCTTGCTTTTTCTTTGATGGGTGATTCATGGAAGTGTGTCAGGTTGCATTTTCACTTTACCAGTAAGGTTGACATAAAATGGTTGCAGACGTATTCTAGATGACTGAAAAAATAACACTGAAAAATCTGCCTAGCAATTTAAAGATGAAACTGACTGATTTTTTTTTTTTTTACACTGGAATATTTCATAGGCAAGCTGAGGAAGATACCTGAGAACTACTTAATTAAAGCTACTGATGATGTTAATGTAGGCGATAGAAAGACTCAGTTATGCCACATAAAATATTACCTTATTTCAGACAAAGTTATCATTGGAAACACCAATGATTTTCAAACTGCCTTTTTGAACCTACTGCTTGACAAGATATGAATAATTGAAGAGACTGTCTGTGATTCCTCTGTGTTGTATGGCATCTTGTATGGTGTCTTGATCTAGTAAATACAGTAACAGGTTTCTATGCCTACTAGGCATCACAGATTTGGCAAATACATCCTTTCACTCTCAGCTCTGCTCATAATTTTTTTCCATCCGAAAGCACTGCTTGTCCAAGCAACTTTTACCTGGAAAGAACAGTAATGGGCAAGTGGGAGAGTATTTTTTTTAAAGCCATCTGTGTTTGGAAAAAAACATACTACAATATAGTAGAAAGAGAATTTCAGCATTTGCTATTCTAAATCCTCAAAGATCACCTGAATTAATGATGCAATATTTCTTGGATGTGGCAAATGTTAGAGCTTTATTTTTCATTCTACAATACCAGAAGCCTATTCGTCTTTTTCTAAACATGATCACTTTTAAAGGGAGATGCCTTTAGAAGTTCACACTTATGTGCAGGAAGTTTTCGTTAAAAACCTAAAAGGATGGTTATGTGGATTTTCAGAACACTTATTGATCACACAGATCTGTTGGTGAATGTTTTGGTCCATCCTGATGATTTTTAAAAGATGACTGCTGGACTTTTAGTGTTATCTTTAAAAAATTCTTTCATGTTTTCTTTGGTCAGATTTTCTGATCTAGTGTTAAATAAAACTAATTTTATTTTCAGATAATCCCAGATGTGGCTTGTGGAAATGCCAGTTCGAATACCTCTGCTGGAGGCCGGCTTATCTCCTTTGAAGTTCCACAGAACACATCAATAAAGTAAGAATATTTTTCATATGTGATTAAATAGAAAAATGCTTTTATTTTAATTTGCCCGTTTTTCAGATAGGCAGATTTATCAAATGGCCAAAAGTATATGAAAGAATTTCAGAGAGACTTCAGGTGTCTAACGGTGCCATGACAGCTCTTTGCGTGGTATAATTTTTCCCACATATTTAAGGTTTTAGGATATGTAAGCACATAAACTGTCTCTGGGCCATCAGAATGCAAGAGAAATTAGGGCAGATATGTTGGAGAGATCAGTTTGGAGAAGATACGACATTTCCTTTCTCCATGAAATGAAACTTATTTTCTCCCTTTAATCTCAAGATGCACTTGCTGGTACAATGCGTTATCATTGATTATATAAATGTGTGTATTTTGTGCATTGGTTTTGATTTCTGCATTATTGCTTTGGGTGTCATCATCAGCTGTGAAATTTTTGTGCATGTCCTACAAATCACGTTTCTCAAAAATGTGAATTTATTCTGTGTTATTCAGTTGTTGAACTCATTCCTTTTTCGATCAAATACTTGCTTTGTTACTTTTAATTAACAGAACCAGACTTCCTAGAAAGATCTGATTCTGTCAGCTGGAAATTTTATTTCAAATAAAAATCTGCCAACGTAGTTCTCTGGCTCACAGCTTTTCTGCAATTTTAGGCTTAGATTTTCCCAAAATAGCCTACTTTTCTCATACTGTCATCTTATCTTTCAGAATCCCAGCTTTCTGTTAAAAAAGGCCATGCTTGCAGGAAAAAAACAGCTGGTGCAAGCAGACAAGCTGCAGACAGTTTGGAGCAGCAACTGTTAAAGGTGGGAGCGGCCCTGCGCTTCCCACAGGACTGGGAATCGTGCTCATTCATGAGCGCTTCAGCCCAAGTCAGGAAGAGATCTGTGAGTGGGGATGCCCTGGCTGGGGTCTGTAAGCAAACAAGTGTATTTGCTTGAAATCAGGAATAAGCTGACATTTGTAGATTCTACAGCTGTATTTAAGAGCCTTGATGGAGGAACCCTGTTTTAAAGGAAGTTGCAGAGTACACAGTCATTTGCAGTCGTTTTTTACGCTATATATCTTTAGTAGTGTCTTACATCTGGATAGACTAATGCAGGCCAATAACTATCTTCATTTCATTGTATTTTCTGTGTTAAAGGCCCAAGTAGCATGTCTGGTTCAATGACTATCTATGAAAGAAAAATAATTTCAGTCTAATAATTTTATTTTGTTTTGATTGTCAAGTGTGAACTAAACAGTGAAACTAGTTGCTATCTTGTTCTAAAAGTGACATGGTCCTCTTTGGGCGTAGCGATAGGGGTTCTTATAGAGGACCCAAAATACTGTCAAAAATTTGCTGCTTCTGAGGTCTAGTTGCAACATTTTCTCAACTTGTGTCAAACATGATTACAAAACTTTGCATTTCTTGTTTTGAACTCAGATAAGAAGTGACAAGGGAGAGACTGCCCTGTGTTTTTAGCAGGACTGAAACAATTTCAGTACAGGAAATTATGGAACAGAGCTTCATTTCTTGGTGTTTGGAGGCCTGTTTTGAGCAGGAGAAAATTACCGGTTTTCAGCAGATGGATGCAGCTGTGTGTGAATTCTTGGAGGATTGTTCAAACTCACTTGGGATTCCTTCAGAGGAAATTAATGCAAATATTTGGGAACTTGCCAGAAACATGACAGGTTTTTATTTTTCCTTTATGAAGGTGAGTCAGAAAAATCTGTCCCAAGAGGAAAGAAGCACTGACATAGATACAGTGCTCCCCAGGGGAACTGCCGGTATATGTGCAGTTGTAAATATTACTTTGTCAAAGCCGTCAATATTCAGGAAGGCACCGTGGGCTCAGTGACCTTGGAAGCATTACATGACTCATTTGATTTACAAGAATAAACTGTTCTGAACCTTCGATCTGGTATGTCAAACCAATGAGGAATTCTGCCTGGATCCGTGTCCTTGTATTGAATAAACACTGAATGTTCCTTGGTAACCAAGAGGGCTGGATGCACTTCTACTGCAGAAGATCATGGCGTTGTAGATGTAGAATGGAGGTACTATTCAAAAAGGCATAGATACAAAGACTGAATAAGGATGCTTTACTATTACATAATGTTTATGTAAAACTCTTCTTGGTCACTAAGATGGTGTCCTTCAAGTATGAGAAATTGAGACTCTGTATGATTAAATCTGCTGTTACGTATACTATTATGCAAATCTTACTACTGAAGCATTTTTTATTTTTGTGGACATGCTAAAAACCTTCAGGCCTTTTAGTGATTCTGTACTTGCCACATTTAAGTCCTCCTTCTTTGTTGATAGGCTTTTGTGATATACTTCCTGATAACACCAATTTCCCTTGGTGTAAATATTCTTATAATTTCTTTCTTAGAATAAGGCAAGACGCTACTGCTTCTCTTATCTTGCTATGGAAGGTGACAACCATTGGATTTAAACAGTGTTCACTTATTGATGGCAGAAGTGTCACTCTTCTCCAGGCACTGGGTGGACTTGTTCTTTCTGAAGAAATGCTTGCATTAGGGAACAACTACTTTATTGGTGAGTAACATGCTGACTTTCTGTTTATCACCTCTAGGCGACAGCCAATGGTTTACCCAACATTTAGAGAAACAAAGAGGTAATGCCCTTCATTTAAGTGTTGCTAAAAGATCCAGATGTGATGTTGGGACCATGGTTTAGACATTGGCTCACTCAAAGCAGACAAGAAGTACACTAAATTCTTACACAGGTGGCACCATTCAGTTTAAAATCTAGCTGGTGATTTTGCCCTATACCTTTAGGTGATGCAAGGTATTTTATATGTTCTATTTTAACCAACAGTAAAGCTTTTGATAAGTTCTACGGTAAATAACTATGAGTGTTTGAGGTGTTTCTTTCTCAGATATTGTATTATAGGATACTTGGTAAAGAAGCTTAATCTTCTACATGGTAAACTTGAAAAAATATATTAAAATATAACAGGAAAACTGGTCTTATAACAGTGTTTACTTGCACTACTTTTTCTTTTCAGTTTTGTCTCTGTGAATATGAAACCTTAGAAATGTACTATATGTTTCATTTGACAATTAAATGTTAAGCATCTTTGTGGAAGGAGTGTAATGAAAATAGATTGATATGTGTTTTTTAAGTGTATAGGAAATAATACCGATGTAATGCAGTATTTATGCATAGACACAATAGACTTCATTAAATGGAGTTTTCTGGGCAGATGGTTTATTATACCAATGACATGAAACTAAAGTCATTGTAATAACAGCATTTATTGTAATCTGCTTGAAATGCTGTATATCTTATAATGAAGTGTAAGCTGCCACAATTTGTTATTCAGCAACATATCATGCTAATAAATGTGAACTTAAAAGCATTCTGATGCAGAAAAATTGGGCCAAATTATAAGTGTGTAGCCAATACAGAAAAAAACCCTAATGCAATAGTAGTGCCACGTTGTCTCCTTTCTCAGCTGTCACTTAGCAAAGATATTCCTTGAAGGTTGTTAGTATAATGGTTTACTTACCGTCAGCAGTGGTTTCTTTTAGTGATTTTTATTTGCTTCAAATAATTTTACAGTTCTTTGGTTTTTTTATTATTTACTTCCTTACAAGATATTTAGTTTTAGCTTTTTTTCCTTTTAATCTAGTTTTGCATTAATTTATCAGAGTTAAAACACTCCTCATGTGTCTTCCTCAGGAATAAATTTTTGCATTTTCCTTGTGGTAGTGAAGATACGATACAAATAAGTAAAAACTTGCTGAAGACAGGATAATTTGTCACTTTTATGCACTCATGAAAGTACCTAAAAGCATAGCTTGGTATATAGGCTCCCAAGCAGAGGGCCCAAGTTGCTCTGGGAAGGCTCCACTTGACTGTACGTGCTGTACAGTGTCTATTAATTTAGATAACTACAACGAATGTTGTCTTACTCTTTCATAGTTTGTCTTGTCCTACTTGTCTCTCCGTAGCTGTCTGTCACTGGGTGTTTTACTTTGAATTGTTTACTGTGTGTTATATAAAAGGAGGTGAAAATACACCTTTTCCTTAATGAATGTAGATGAAGGTTTAGATCATAAAAATTGTATGCATGATCTTGCTTATTTCATGCAGTGCAAGTTTTCTGAGACCTCTTATTTTACTTCCATCCAGTTTTCGATACATTCTTTAGTCTTTCTTAATTTCCTGATACTGAAATTCTTTGTAGAATTTTCCAGTTGTTGTAATTTAATTTATGTAAAGAACATGAATCATAAATGTGTATGCATGGAGCAGTAGGGAGACTCCGATAACATAGTGATACATTCATGAACAGGAGCATCTGAGTGCTTAGTAAAGATGAGTGCAGATATAGTGCAATTGAATTTTTATAAATCCTATTTATTTTAGCAGATGTATGGATTACCTGTAGTGCTTTTCATAGAAAATGAATATGAAATATTCACTCTGCATATCTTTTAGTCCTGAGGCATTGCAGCTCTATACTATGACATAATCAAGTAATGAGATAAATTTCTGGAGTAAATTATTTTAGTTGGCCTGAATTTAGTTATAGCTTTTCCCAGCATAATTTCCTTTTATTAAAACACTTGAGCAGAAGAAAGATGAAATACTAAAGGAATAGGGAAGCTGAAACATGAATTTGTTGGTTTAAAACTGTTTATGACCTATCAAAATTTATTGTAAGAAAGAGAGAAAACAGAGTAGCCTCTGGATTTTCTTCTCAATTTTATGGAAATCTGCTTACTTTCCATCATAAGCTCTCATCCAAGAAAGAGTAATTAAAACTTAAAGACTTAGAAAGGAACGGAGTCATTTAGTGTGAAAAATGCTGAATTTTATCTGAACTCAGCTGAAATCCACAATTCTGCTAAGATCTATGTAAAAATAACAAAATTTTTACTTCAGATTTGATCCAGATGTATGGAAACGGTCTGGGAATCTGACACACCTCCCTTAAGTTTTTAGTTTTCAGGAGTTTAGTTTTCAATAAGATCAGATGAATGAAGTTTTTCTTATAGATAACTTTCCATGTTTCTCGAAGTACATGACAAATTTATTCTAAAGTACAATAAATTAAAATGGATTATTTAATATAAAACCCCCAATAATATAGCATGTGCTTTTATTGATGGTATTTAAGCTAGAACAATCATGAGGCGACAAGATACTGGAGGATGCTGTAAGCACAGAATCATACAGTAAGGCTGTGAACCATGCTGGTTGATATGTTTACTTTATATACATTCCCCTCGTTTTCTGTTCATTCAAATGAGTTTTTAAAGGATTCTTCTCTTAATTGGTGAACTCTGTACAATGTAATTTTTTTGACCTTTAAAAATAATTTCTAATTAGAACTGTGAAAGAAAAATGGGGAAGAACTGAGTGTGGAGGTGTGTTTTTCTCTGGGGTTTTTTTTTGGGGGTATTTTTTTTTGTTTTGGCTTTGATCTATGTCATATTTGAGTCACTTTTCACTGTGTTGCCTCTGAGTTTGTTACTCGGGAAGATACTTTAATTACTTTTGCAAATCTTTCTGAATAATGTGGCTATGTCAAAGATAAAACATTTAGGGAAATGTGATTTGTTTTGTGTTACCTCCCGATGATGCAAGTTTGAAGTTGTTTAGACAAGATTGAAAAGACTCAAAAGTCAGCAATAATGTACTGGTTTGCTGACCACGTGAGTCAGGGCACAATGTTTAGAGGTTGGGAAGAATGCTGTCTCTGAGATCTAAAAATAGACACCCTGGTCATAGTGCTGTTTGCCCCCGAGACAGCACCTGCGCGGTGTGAGGGCGAAGGGTGGGAGGGAGGGAGAAGAGCGTAGCACAGCTAAACAAACACAGAGCAGTCTGTTTTCTGTAATGTGATTTGTAAAATGGCTGCTGCGTCTGCAAACAGTCTTTTGCAGTGCAGGAGGAGAGTTACGATGCTGTGATTATGCCGCATAATTATGTTGTTAAACTACAGCATTTACTCCATTAAAATATATCCCAGTAGATGGGAAAGAACAGTACTAACTTGAAGACTGAATTGTACATTCTGTAACATATTCTTACCATACTGCTTTGCCTAGAGTACTTTTGATGAGTGTTTCTGTAAGATTTGTTAGTACACATATGCCAGTCTTCTAAAATAGTTTATTATGGGGACAATCTTTTTAGTAGAGACAATGGTGACAGGATGAGGGGTAATGGTTTTAAACTAAAACAGGGTAGGTTTAGGCTAGATATAAGGAAGAAATTCTTTACAATGAAGGTTGTGAAACACTGGAATGGCTTGCCCAGAGAGGTAGTGGAGGCCCCATCCCTGGAAACATTCAAGACCAGGTTGGACAGGGCTCTGAGCAACCTGATCTAGTTAGCGGTGTCCCTGCTCGCTGCAGGGGGGTTGGACTAGGTGACCTCTAGGGGTCCCTTCTGACCCAAAACTTTCTATGATTCTATGATTATGTTTTATTAGAAAGTGCACTTCTTAGCTAGTGGGAAAAAAGACCAATATTGTTCAGGTTTTGGAGTGAAAAATATCCTGAAAGTACTGACTCACTCAGTAGGTTAGGTGGGTTGGGTGAAGGATGAAGCACAGCGCATATCTCATGGTGCTGGTGGCTTTTGATGCCAAGTTACTACTAGACAAAAGTAATCCCTAGATGGCTGATCTGTAGTACAAGCCAGGTGAACTCGATCTCTGCCCAATGGTTTGCAACAAAAATGCTTCATTTGATGCCAAGAGAATTTATAAAGAGTTTTGTGTGCAAATTCAGGGCTTTAAAAAAAAATAAAAAATTATTGGGGGCATTTCTGAATAGCAAATGTTTTTTATATCTATACAGAAAAATATCTATTGTCTGGAGTGCTATGGGTGGATATCAAGATTTGCCAAAGAGATAGTTGGGAAGAGAAGGAGGAGGGAATTAATCACATTTTTAAAGGAGAGATGGCAATAAAGGGATCAACATTCGGAACACTAATTCATGGAAAGTCTGCCTTTTATTTCAGTAGAGTTATAGCTTCACACTATTTGTCCCAGTGTTCTTTGAAGTTAATGAGTTATTCTTGTATAAACTATTTATCGTATTTATAAAATGTCTCATCAGTATTGGTTTTAATTGAGGATCTTCATACCTTCATGCAATCAATTATGGTACCAGAATATTTGAAAATCAGTAATTGCAAAACTTTACCTTGTTACAGTCACAAACCTATTCTTCATTGCAATATATCTTGAAAAATTGAAATCAGGTGAAATGCATTTTACAAGTCTGAAAAAATGGGAGAAGAGTACCCTGATGCACCATGAGTTTGTGCATGCGTCTTTCAGACTGAAGTTCTCATGAATGTTAATAGGTTGCAACTAAGGATCCTGGTGGCAAGTTGAAAGTGCTGCTTGTGATGGGTTTTGGGGGGAATCTAATCCACCCAACACTGTGCACTTCTCTCTTTCAGGGAGTAATGTACTGCTTTTGGGACCATGTACAGGAACATGGATATCTTCTGCTATACAAGTCTGTCGCAAGTGCATAAGACTTACTAAACTGGTTAAATCATAT